GCTGGTTAGCACTTGGGAGGCTGGGGCAGGAAAATCACTGTGAGTTTAAGAACAGCCTGGGTTACAAGTGAGCCCAAGACCAGCCTCAACTGTATAGTGAGACTGTTTCAAAAAGACAAAATAAAAAGGTCAGGGATCCATCACAGGCTTAACAATGATAACTGAAGGTCACAAAAAGGGTTTTTGAGGGTGGTAGTAATGAAAAAGGAGTTTCATTTCTATATAGACAGCCCATACTACTACGCAAGCCCATGTCTCTCACTCAAAGCACAATTCTAGAAGAGCCTAGGCAATGAATTTGTCCTAACCCTTGATATATACCTTCTACCTACAGGGCTAGGAAGTGCACACCTGTAACCCCAGCACTTCGGAGGCTAAGGCAAGAAAATTACAAGTTCCAGGCCAGACTGCACTACATAGTAAGAGCCTGTCTCAAAACAACACCTCTCCAAAAATCACTTCCACCAGAAGAGAGTAACTATACTTAAAAACACTTGTAATTTGGGCAGAACAGTTGGTAATTCCAACACTTTTCAGAGGCTGAGGCAAGATGGCAAATTCAAGTCCAGCATGGAGAACCGAGCAACAAAGCCGCCAAGTAAGAAGGGTTGGGGATATAGCTCAACACAAAGACTATGCTCCACTCCCAGTATCACCCTAAAAGGAAAGAAGTGGAATGACTTCAAAATCTCATCATCATTCACACTAGATGACAAAAGGACCCAAACATGCCTCTACTCTAAAAGGGATTCAACTGTTTTACTCATGGAGCATTACTTACCGGACAAAAAGGTAAGGTAAGGGGAAGGGAAGCAAAGATGTTGGCACTGATAGCAGAATGAAGAACAGACAGGAAAATAAAGTACCGTTGGGTTTACATTGTGAATAAATTACAGTCACTCCTGTATCAGGTTCAAATTACAAGCACTAGATTGTATTACCCACTTCCATAATTATTAATGATACTAAGAAAATTTAAACTGCATTCCTCATATTAAAGATATTAAAAGTACTCATTAATAAACATTTGTAGCAAATCACAGGAGCTATTTCTATAACCCCAGCTACTCAGAAGATTAAAGCATGAAGATCCCAAATTCCTACATATCTTGGGCAACAAAGGAGAACCTGTGGCAAAATAAAGGGTTAGCAGTGTAGCTCAATGATAGTGCCTTTGGGTTGGATCCCCTGTAGGCAAAGTGAACATTAGTGTAACGCTTGTTTACCCTGACTTTAACAAGGTGTCACTAAATCTGCTTTAAAATCTATGCGTAACAAGATCATACTGCCTTCCTTTAAATCCCTAGCACAAGTGCTTGCCACCACTTCTAGACGATGCCTTGTCTTCCTCGAATATAAGCATTCCTACCAGGCAGGTGACACCTATAATTTTTAATTCATTATCTGTAACATTCAAACTCAATTTGTGGTTATAGAAAGCAACATTCAATGCCACGCCATTCCTTGTTGAATATTATAAATTTGCAAACAAAACACTCCATACTGGATTCCTGCTTCACCAAACACTAAGCAATATCAGGCATGGTGGGACACCCATGTAACCCCAGCACTTGAGAGATGGAGACAGAAAGATAAACTCCAGTTCAAGGCCAGCCTGAGCTACACAGCCAGAATCTGGGTCGTAACCCAACACATACCTTCTGTATCCTGGATCCTGCCTTCACTACATCCACTGGTATACTCAATGGTGGTCATTTAAAACAGAAATAAAAAAATGCTGGGCATGGTGGCGCTCCCTTATAATCCCAGTATTTCAGAGACTGAGGCAGGAGACACTCAGGTAGGAGGATAGCACTGCCTTCAAGACCAACCTGGGCTACAAAATGAGTTCAAGGCGGCCTCAACTACTGGCCAAATCTTGGCTCAAAAAGACAAAAAAAAGTTGTACTCCTTTGTAGCCACTTGTATTTCAGAGAACTGAAAAGGCATACAGAATGCCGGAAAGAGCAATATAAATAGAATGTTTAAAGCCCCAACAAGAAATATCTTCCAGTTAAATCACTTACAGTCATCATTTTCCTTTAGTTTCTCATAACTACTCTGTCAGATAGTTTTACTCCTCTTTATGATTTTCCTTATCAAAGAAGTTCTCTACTTGCTTTCGGATTGACAAGAGATAAAGTTCAAAAAAATGTTCTTTTAGGATTATATAAACCAGAACTTGGGCTCCCCTACAGTACAAATCTCATTGCTGACTCAGCTCTGCCTCTGCCCTGAGACTTAGGAAATTCCTTTAGGCCCTTGTTTTTTCATTTCACAAAAGGAGCTGATCTAAATCCATAAAATTCTGTGCTCTCAGAAAGCACCCACTGGGGCTGGGGATTTAGCTCAGCGGCATAAGTGCCTGCCTTGCAAGCAGGCAGTCGTGAGTTCCATCCCTGGTACCGATAAAAACGATAAAGATAAATTACCCACACCAGCCTTGCATTTGCAATGGTACCTCAACTACCCAGATACTGAGATGAGACCTGTGCCACCATGCATACCCCAACCGCTGGGGAAAACAAAAAAAACAAAAGAATGTGAGGTGTGGTGGTATACACTTGTAAACCCAACACTTTGGAGGCTGAAGCAAGAGGACAGCCAACTATTCAAGGCCAACCTAAATTTAATGCCCAGCGTGGACTATACAGTGATAAGATCCTGTCTCAAACCAATCAATCAATCAATCAATCAATTAACTTAAAAAATAAATAAGCCTGGAGCTGGGGATTTAGCAGGATAAGCACCTGCCTAGCAAGCACAAGGTCATGAGTTCAATCCCCAATACCAAATAAATAAGCCTGGAAAAATTCATCAAGTCCACTATATTTTCTTACAAAAGTAAAATTACATTGTCTTGAGGACCAAACAGGTCTGTGACTACAATCTGATACATTTCCAGTATAGTACAGTCCTAAGTAATACTAACCAAACTCAGAATTTTCATGAGGAATCAATACATGAAACACATAATAAAAGCTGATATACCAAGGACATACATGCATGTTTATCCTATCAGAAAGTTACTGTAATATTACGCTCCCTTAGTTTCTAGGCTCAAGGAAATTGTTTTTTGAAATGTATTAAATTAAATTGCACATACCAATTGCTCACCTGTTGTTTACAATAGGCTTTCATTATTAGTTCACGAAGTGGTGTATGCCTCTTAATCTTAAACTGCACCACAGAACCATTCTGCCCCGCCACCTTCAAATTAATATGGTCATTGTTCTCAGTTTTGACTCCTTCCTGTTGAAAGAAAAAAGTATAAGTTGGAAAATGTGAAAACCAGGCACCCTTTAAAGTAGTAGCAGCCCAAACTGGTGCACAAATCAACAGGTTTCATTCCCTACGATAAAACAGCAAACAGCTGTTTTCAGTCACTGAAGTCAATATGAGAGGTACCCTGCAATAGTACTAGGTAGCTGACAGAAACAGTAACACACTATCAAAGGTAACAGATTTTAAGTGATGGTTCCCAATTTATTGCATCGTTATCTTGAGACTGAATTGTTTTAAATGGTATTTTCGATCACTAATATATCCTAATAGATAAAAATGTCTTTTTCTTTGGGAAGCACTTAAAGGATAACTGCTGAAAGAGTGCAAGAGGCGAGGGGGAAAAATGAGCTTGCAATTCACATATTACAAGACTCTTGATAAAGTTACCAAATTAAGCCCCATAACAAATTCAATATACGCATTAAACACACACACACACACACACACACACACACACACACACACACACACGAATGACCCTCTTGGGAGCATCAGTAACTGAGAACCACGATTAATGCTGGATTCTATTAGCAGCTTCATTTTCTTTTATTTTTAGTTAGGTGGTCTTATATTCCCTTCCCTTTGTTGTTATGAGTAAAATGCACTGTTTTCTTCTATGTCTTCCTGGTAGATTTCAACTCAACTCGAAGTTCACCAAAATCTAGTGCGAAAGGAATTCTGCAGCCCTTAAAGCACTTCGGAAAGCAAAGGCGGTGTCAATGCACCCCAAAGAAGCAAGTTCCTTTTGCTTCTCAGACGCACGTTCCCATGCTCACCGGAAGCCGCCTGGTACCTCAAAAACCGCGCTCAGGAAAAAAAAAACAAAAAACAAAAAACCCGCGCTCAGAAGTTCTGTTCCACCAAGTCTAAGGTCGCTTATGTCAGGCTCCAACTTCCTGAAACTACAAGGTACCCCCCGGTTCTAGGGGCGCTGGCACCTGAGGAAGGGCCGCTGACCCTCCCCCCTCAGGTCCCCGAGGCCCTTAAAGTGGAAACACTCCCCGGAATGCCCAACCGCTGAGCGTGACTGTCCGAGGGCATCGGCCTCGAAGCCCCGCAGCAGCCCATGATTTGCCGCGAGCCGTCGCCCGGCCGCCGCGGCCCCCAGCCTGAGGGAAGCCTGGGCCGTGGGGACTCCCGCCACCGCCGACGCCGCGCAGCCTCGGGGCCCACGCACCGGCAGAGAAGCCCGCGCAGAGCCGGTGGGCAGCGGGAGCCCGCGATCTGCCGCCCGTCTCGCGCCGCGCGCACTGGGAGGCTGGGGAGGACGGCAGGCCTCCTCCCGCACAGGAGGGAGGAAAAGGGGAAATGAGGCGGAGCGCCCGGCCGGAGCCGTGGCCGCCCCAGGGGGGCCCGAGAAGGCGCGGGGAGCCCCGGGTGGGCTCCGGCCGGACACTAGCCCTACCGTTGCCTGTCGCGAGCTGAAGAGAGAAGGCGGCATGGAGCTCACCTTAGGCTTCTCATCGGCGCCAGTCTTCTTGGCTGCCGCTTCACAAAAGAGGTAGCAGGTCGGCCAAAGGAGCACACAAGCAGCACCACAGGAGGCAGTGGGACGCGGTAGGAGGCGGCGGCGGTGGCGAGGTAGAGGGCGCGCGCACGTCGTGCGCTTCTTCCGCCCACCCTGCGTGCGCGAGCACGACCTGGCGGGACTTTCTATTGGTGGCCTCCTCGCGGGAGCGCGCAACGCTTAGATAACCACCCCAACACCAACCCCCCATCCTCCCAACCCAAACACCCCCTCACCCCTTCCACCCACCCCCCACCCCCCAACCCCCCACCCCTCACCTCTACCTCGCATGGTTGCCGCTGCCTGGGCTAGGTGCCTGCCTGGCCGGCGGGAAGTTGCTTGAACACACGCACTCGGCCTGTCGCGGGGGCGCGCCTGGCCCTGGGCGGGGCTGTATGATCCCCTTTTGTGGTAGAACATAATCAAAGTGGCTTCCAGCTGGTCCTCCACGAGGACGAGGAGTCTCCAGGCCTTAGACATAAGAGGTAGGCTGTGGCAGGCAAAAGGACTGGACGTAGTGCAAGAACCGGCGTCGCAGGGAAGAAGACCCCAAAAAAGTTTATTTCCATGCGCATGGGGTCCCCCAGGCAAACAAGTGCGGAGGGCCCCCGAGGGGGAATTGTGCAGGGTTTTTAAGGGCGCAAGCGGGAGGCAAGCAAGTTTACAGAAGCAGATTGCATTGGTTAATTTTGAGCAGCATAGGACTTGGCAGAAGTCGATTGGAGGGGTTTGGGGTTGAGTAACCATGGAGACTGGGGGTCCTAGCCCAGTCACTATGTGCCCAGAACAGAACAGTTACTTGTCTTACTTATCTCGTTGAGACAGAACAACCTTGCAGGTGCATTCTTTTTTTTTTTTTTTCTCTGCTCTGATAGCTCTGGGGAGTTAGGCATTTTTTTCTGCTCTGCTCTGATAGCTCTGGGGAGTTAGGGAGTTAACCCTTTCATTCCCCGCTCTGGGGAGTTAGGGAGTTAACCCTTTTATTCCCCACTCTGGGGAGTTAGGGAGTTAACCCTTTCACCACTAAGCTAAATCCGTGGCCCCCTTTCACCTATCTTGTCTCTAATTTTCAACCAGGGGTGTAAAGACTGAAAAACTTCTTGTTCTGAGTGGGCTGGGAGATCAATCCCTAGCAGAACTTGTGGGATGGGAGTCTTTCTGGAGTTAGTTTTTTTTTACTAGTCAAGTGCAGTAGTGAGAAGGGGGGAGAGAGTAGAGCAAGGAGTTCAGTCTGTACTGACTGTGAGCAATCAATGGAGATAACTCACCACCTTCGGACCAGCCTGGAGTTAGTTTTGTTATTTGGGTATATTTTCAGAATAAACAGAAGCTCCAAAGGGCTGAGGCAGGGGCGGGGGCGCAGTGGGAGAGGGCTTACCTAGCATGCAGGAGGTCCTGGCTTTGATCCTCAGGGCCACCAAAAAACAACACGCAGTTGTTTGTACGTTATTAGCTTATATTCTGTTTTTTTTTTTTTTTCAATTTTCTGTTTGCCACTAATTTCTTAATAGGATTTTAAGATTTCTACCCATATTTATTATGCTATGAATATAAAAATTACTCATAGTTAGCCGGGCGTGGTGGCTCATGCCTGTAATCCCAGCACTCTGGAGGCTGAGGCAGGAGGATCCTTGCAAGTTGAAGACCAGCCTGGCCCCATATAAACTTCTTACCTGTACAAAAACACCTGTTGTGCCTTGCAGCTTACTTTTATTTTACTTATTTATTTTGGGGGGAGGTACCCATGGGGCCAAGGGACCATAAACCAAAATCTCTGAAATGGAATCTGCATACATTTTTGGTCCTTTATGTTGATTTTCCCCCGTATATTGTCACAGAGAAGACATCTGAGTAACACACCAGTTGTCCCAGGAGTCCGTCATAACAAAGAAGATAAAAGCAGTTTAGCCCAGGCCCTGATCCAAGGACAAGCATTTCATTTAATTGTTATTTTTCTTAGTCTCTTTTAAACAGTTTCTCTGCAGTGTGTCTCTGCTTTTTATGACTTCTTTTCAAAGAATTTCGCCACGACCTAATGCAGCACCTGAGGTTCTTGGGGTTAAGGACAGTGAGAGGATGAGAAAATTAAAAGACAAAGCTGGGGTCAGGTGGAGCCCTTATCCTCCTGATGGGAGAAAAGGAACTGCTCGACCACTGTAGCACCTTTGTTTACACTGGGAAAGACAGGTCAATTTCAGCCGCTCTGCCTAGCAGCCCATGGCTTGGCAGCCCTGGCCCCTGCCTTCTTGGTGCTGGAACAACTTGTTTACATAGCTGGTTTTGGTCTCTCTGTTTTTTTTTTTGGGGGGGGCTGGCCTTGCTTTAGCCCCACACATGTGATCAATCTCCAGCTTCAATGGCTTCCTACACCATGCGAGTAAGTGTGTATTCAGGGACACACATATAACCGTGGACACATATGTAACTGGGGTGATCTAAAATCATGAGTTCTTACTGATATTTCTTGTTGTCATCCAGTAGCAAAATGTTCATTGCCTGTTTTCATATTGCTTACTTCCTTTTCTGGCCATCATGTACTTAATGCCTATTAGCCAGGTGCAGTGAGAAATTCTAACTACTCAGGAGATTGAGGCAGGAGGGTCACAAGTTCAAGGCCAGCTTGGACAACTCCATGAGACACTATCTCAGTCAATCAATCAGACAGTCAGGATGTAGCTCAGTGGTACAGTGCTGCTGGGCTCGACCCCCAGTACCACAAAACAAAATAGCACTGAAGTCTCACTCTTAACATTTGCACTTATTACCCCTATAATACAGGGCCAGTGGGTTCATCATTATCTAGCGAGGCAACGTGATTAGCCAACTACTCACCAATGAGAGCTCCATGCTGCTGTTCTTTCTGTCTTTACTCTGAGGCTCTATAGTTAAAAACTAGTTTTACTTCTTTTCTGTGGTTGTGAGCATTTAAATATGGGTATGGTCAACTTGCCTTTGTCCACTTTAGAGTTTCCTCCCAGTCTATTGACTTCACTATTTTTGGGATATAGAAAGTGCAAAGATAAAACTGCAGAAGCTCGTGCCACTTCCTCCTCCAGCCTCTTCTGTCCTCTCAGCTCGCCCTGCTCCTCTGTAACTTCCTTAGGTGACCAGTCTCACTAAGTTCCAGCATGTCTTCCTTTGTATGTCTTTTTGCAGAGATAACTGAACATGTGTGTGTTTTCCCATTCCTTTCTAGTATCAGTGCAGGTTGAAGATCCGAAGTCTCGACTTCCGGGAAAACATGGCGGACAGATAACAGCAGCTACGGAGGCTCTCTAAAAGACTCGGCTCAGAAGTCAGGAGTGGTGCGGAGTAAGGAGACATAAGCAGGTGGAGATATGCTCTGCTGACCCAGGAACGAACTAGGCTGAGAGAAACCAACTTAGAATGCAGTCCTGGTGCTAGAACAGGAACAGAGGGGTCTCAGTGTGGAGGCTGGAGCCTGCGCCATTGGAAGCCGTGATTTGGGTTTCCCGCCGCTCAGCAGCTGCGTCTACATCAGCTCGGCAGTGAGAGAGATGCACAGAAGCTCTGAGAACGGGAATCTGTGAACGGAGTTGAAAACAGGATGGGCGGGGAGCCGTGCACTGACTTGTGGTGAGGTGAGTGAGAGAAACTGACACTCTACCACAGTTTGACTCCAGCGGAGGACATTCTGGGACTGGGCAGACTTGTGGGAGCGGGGCGCTGCAGCGACTCCAGCCACGTATCCCCCTCTCAAGCAGGATTGGTGAGAAGTGCCTAGGCTACGTGATGCTGCTGGCAGACCCAGTAGGCTAGCCCAACCCAGATCCCAGAGCCTGAGGGTGGCCTGGAGGGGCAGGCCCCGCGTAGGCTGCCTGGTCTGGAACTTCCTGGTGTGCTGTGGTGGGCAGGAACACCTAGCTGGCGCAATTCGATCAGGCTGTGGCTGACAGGGAGGGAAGCTGGGCCTCCTATATAAGCTTGCATATATAAGGAACAAAGAATATGGGAAGAGGCAGCAACAAGAAAGGCTCCTCGGCCCCTAATCCTGAGAAACAGGTAATAGCGGTCACCACACCAATAGACATAAAGCGCCATCTAGAGAGCCTCATAGATTAGTTCAGGAATGAAGTTATTAATGACCTGAAGCTAGAAGTAAGCAGAATAGTTAGAGAAATGCTAAGCACCACACAAGAAAAAACGGATGGTGGAATGGAAGAACAGAAAAAGAGGGGAGAATTGTTTGATGGAGAAAATAGAGAAAGCATAGAATACGTGAAGCAGGTTCAAAGGGACTACCAGGAAACTAAAAACTCTATCGAAAACTGGCATAACAGCTTGAAAGAAACTAAGGACAGACTATCTGAACTGGAGGGCAGATTTATAATATGGGAGAATGAAAGGAAAAACTTCTTAAAAATAACAAAGAAACAAACAGCAATAATACAAAGACAAGAAGATGATAAGAGGATCCATAACTTAAGAATTAAGAACATAAAAGAAGAAGTAGGGACACAAACAAGTGAACTACAAAAGCTACTCACAGAAATAATCCAGGAGAATTTTCCTAATTTAGCAAAAGGTAAAGATACTCAGATGTATGAGGCACACAGGACCCCAGCCACCTACAACCCAAACAGAGCAACACCCAGGCATATAATAATAAAAATTCCAGAAATTCAATACAAGAACAGAATATTAAAAGCTGTCAGAGACAAGAAACAGACCACTTACAAGGGAGCACCCATCAGAATTACAGCAGATTTCTCTGCACAAACCATCAAATCATGAAGAGCGTGGGGGGAAATAATTCAAGCTTTGAAAGATAATAATCTCCAGCCAAGATTGAGATATCCTGCACAACTGTCCCTGGAAATTGATGGAAAAACAAGGTGCTTCCAGGATAAAGAGGAACTGGGGGAATTTGCAACCACCAATTCAACTCTACAGAGAGTATTGCAGGATATTCTAAAAAAAGAAAAATACAGAGAATCCAGAAATAGTGGGGGGGAGGCCACAATGAATGGAGCAGAGAACAAAATGAAGAAGACAAACTGACAGCTACTGACAGAAAAAGAGCTCAACAGAAATGAGGCAGAGAAGATTGGATGATAGGAACTGCTATTTTGGAGAAAATGATGTCTTAATATGTAATACTGATTTAGTATCATCTTGTTTTGAAGTCTCATCAATGAAATCTCATTTTGTTCTTCTGTCTCCATTGGTCTAAACAGGTTGTATCTTATTGGATTTTATTATGTATGATAGTATAAGCAAAAACTTTTAAAGACAAGGAGATTATACAGAAACCAGTGTTCATTTTCTGTTAGTTGATTCTAAATACCCTGTAATGCTGTCATTCTCTTAAATGGTTTTACATTGTTTTGATATATTTAATGCTACAGTATACAAAGTTGTACTCAAGGATTTCAAGGAAAGACACAATATGGTAACTACTTTTATGTCAGGATTATCTTGTGGTGAAACACTATTCTGCTTAAATGGTTGTGTTTTGATCTGTGCTGTTTTGCTGTTATGCCCTCTTTTATCTCAATCTCCACTCCATTATTTACTTTTTTATTTTTATCCTTTTAATTAAGGGAAAAATAAATAAAAATAGCAGGATATATTATAGTAACCCACTTTGACTTTCCATTATCTTGATTTGAAGCCCTGTGTTGCTCTCACCATCTTGTTTTTGACTGATGTTCCTCTATTCTGTTTTGCTGGATAGTACCAGGTTCAAAAGTTTAGGCAACAGCTGTGAAGATAGTGAGATTCATTATGACGCCCATTCTCGTTGACTTTTATCTACTTTTGAAGACCTACAATGTATCCAATGTTTTGGTTTTGTTGGTTTTGTTCTTTATTGTTTTGTTCAATTTTATTATAACTGATGATATAGGCAATTCTATTAGAGATAGCGGGAGGCATTATGGTAACCATTATTGATCACCTTGTATTATGCTTTTACATTATCTATTATGTCCACCCTTTTGATTTGATTGACTCTGTTCTGTTAAGTCACATTTGGTTCTACTCCCTTCCACAAAAGTAGTAAGAACTGTGGGAGCAACAAAACCCAAAATGTGTAATTGTCATTGTACAAAAGAGGAAAAGAAAGGGCTCTAAATGATATAACTGCAGGTATATTTAAGTGTATAAGATAGAAAATGATATCACTGAGTTTTATTGGATCATTGAACAGAACTTTTGCAGTATCATTGTTGGAATGTCCACTTTACAAGCTTTAATTTTGTGACTTGAACAATTATTTCTAAGATGACAATATGTAATCCATTAACTAGTGATTTCCTACTGTTTATTTTTTTCTGTAAATCTGTATAACTGGTATCCTTTCTCTGCTTTTTTTTCTCCTTAAATAAATTAAAAAAAAAAAAAGAAGAAGATCCGAAGTCTCAAATTCTCCAAGCCCTGGAACCTTAAGGGCAAACACCATGCCACAAGGAGACCCCACAGATGACTCCCTGTGACCCTCACAGTCAAAGCACAGGTGTGTGGCAGCTTCTCCCCAGATGCCTGCTGGCCTGAAGCCTGAAGCCTGAAGCCCACTGTCTCCAGCCCCAACAGCATGCTGGCGAGGGTCAGAGCTGGGTGCAAGGAGGGGGCTGAGCTGGGGCCACTGGACTCACTTGAGGACCAGGAGATGGAGCTAAAGCGTTAGGTTCTATTTATGAAGGAGACAACTGTTTCTGGGAATTATGTCCAGTTTCATTTCCACATGGGATAGATGAAAAGGTGACCCCCAATGCCTTTTTAGTAGAGATTTCCTGGATAGAAACATACCTCCAGCCCTGCCCCAATTACATGTATGAAGGCTTTTAAAAAAACAATAACATATCATCGCTGTAAAACAAAGTAAACTGAAGTTCCGGGAAGCAGTGGAAATTAACCTGAGAACAGCAGTGACCTATACATCCTTTGACTACGCCAAGGAGAATAAAGAGCTGTTTGCAGAGAATCACTGTCCCATTCGTTCAACATCCATAGCACTGTCATCTCAGTTGAAACTCCTAATGTTATGGCTTGTGTCTAGATGCCCCTCCAAAGCCTCCTGCAGTCATAGGTGGGGCATTGTCAGAGGTGACCAGATCTAGAGTGTGTGATAGGTGCAGTGATAGGATTAAGGGTGGGTGGTTACTAAATCAGCCCACTGATTGGTTTGGTCCTAATCCTGGCAGCATGGATACAGAAATAAACTCATCTTACCCTCTCCCTTGATGCCCACCAAGAACTTTTCCTGTGCCTCTCCACCTTGCCTGGAGCCAGCTGAGGGTGGACTGAAACCTCTACAAACTGGGAGCTAAATAAACCTCCCTTATCTTGTGGGTGTTGGGTATTTTGTCTATCTAACAAGAGAAATGTAATTAACACACCTAGTATAACCCCATCAAGTTAGAAAAACGACAAAAAGGACAACTTTCAAAAACTCAGAAACACAAACTGGCAGATAAAACAGATCAGGAAGAGGAGCTTGCTCCGGGCTGGAATTGGGTTGATTTGGTGAAGCACTGAGGAGCACAGACCTGAAGGGGACAACTAGCCCTTGGAATCTGAGATAAGGGAAGAGTGTCCCTTAGAAAGTAAACTGGTTTCCACAGCTTTCATTACCATTTTCTGGTACTGAGGTGTTTTTTTTTTTTTTTTTTTTAGTATATATAGAATATGGTTTTTGTATGTTGCTTACACAATAGATGTAAGCAGAAAGTTCATGAAGAGATCTGGTCAATTAAATTATTTTTACAAAACTGCCTTAATAGATGGTGGAAATGTTACTGTTCAGTATGCAGTAATTTATGAAGCCTGTTAAGCTCTGTAAATGTACAAACATAAGGAGTAATCAGTTTATTTATATGAACTTACTCTAGTGGATGTGGTGGCTTTTCAAGGAGAATGAGAACGTGTAGACAGGTACTTCATAGCATGATCCACATTAATAGGTTTGTACCCCAAAGTCTTTATCTTTTCTCTTACTTAACTAGAAGCAGAATTACATCAAAGAAATTTAAATAGCAGTGTTTGCACTTTATTTCATGCTCTTTGTAGTTACTTTTTATTTTTCAACAATGAACTCCTTTCATTTAAAAAAACTGACAACTGTTTAGACTTTTGATTTGGGTCACAATGTTTTTTGTTTTGTTTTGTTTTTTTGTCTTTTTGAGACAGGGTCTCACTATGCAGTTGAGAACCTTGAACTCACTTTGTAGCCCAAACAGCCCTCAAACATACAGTGATCCTCCTGCCTCAGCCTCCTGAGTTCTAGGATTATAGGCGAGCACCACCATGTTTGGCTGGGTCAAGGTGTTTGATCATGAGAGCTTTCAATCATGTGAGTAATAGGTGAGTATAAAAGCCAATCTAGGGGGCTGGGGATTTAGCTCAGCAGCATAAGCACATGCCTTGCAAGCAGGCAGTTGTGAGTTTGATCCCTGGTATCGATTAAAAAAAAAAAAAGAAAAAGCCAATCTGTCAGATACGTTAGAAGACTTTTGCATAAAGCAAGGTGTGGTGGTGCAATCTTGTAATCAAAGCACTCTGGAAGTTGAGGTAGAATTATACATTGGAGGCCAGCCTGGGATACATAGGGCGAACTTGTCTCAAAAACAAAACAAAAGACAGAGAAGGAGAGAAAAGAAAAAATTGCATCAATATTATTTAAACATTTCATTTTGCACTCAGGAGGCTGAGGCAGGAGGATTGCCGTGAGTTCAACGCCAGGCTGGGCTACATAGTGATTTCAAGGCCAGCCTGAATAATATAGCCAGATCTTGTCTCAACACCCCCCAAAATGTAAGTAAATAAATAGTAGAATGAAAAAATGTTTTCTTTGCTGCATATACTAGTATGGGAGTAAGTGATACCTTAATAATTTGTATATTGTTGGAAACAGTGATTTTCATAAAATTTTATTTCTGTGTCTGATGTGTTTTTGTTGGATAACTGAGGTCTTTACATGGTTCAACAAAAAACCACATTTGAAATCTTGCTCTTTTTTTGGTACTAGCAATTGAACTGTGGACTAGGCAGCCACTGTGCTGTTGAGGTACATCCCCAGCCCAAACCTTCCTTTGTTTTTGTAGTGACTTTTCAAGCCCAATGTATTTATCAATCTGCATCTTTTTTAATGTACGTGGCAGTCTTTTCAGATGCTGAACTGTTGTCCATGCTTGGCTTTGAAACTCATTAAGAAAGGACACTATTGGTGTACATTTACTAGGAAAATTTATTGATGTTTGTTGTAATCCCCTTTCTTGTCCTCCTTGAAGTCCAGAAAGTTTGTATTTGTAATCCTTTTGAGGTGTTATTGGAATCCTGGTGAGTTCATTCCAATCTATCACCTACAGTGCAACCGAGGCAGGAGTAAAGACACTAACGCGTATTTACAGTTATGGGCAGCCACGGGGTCCTGAGTCTGGTCCAGGTGAGGATTCACAGGACAAAGGCCTCACCCAGAATTCACTCATTCATGACGAAGGGAGTGGCTGGAGGGTCAGTGACTGAGAATTACATGAGTGCTGTGAGCTGGGCTGGCCAGGGGGCCAGAAAGCTCCTCTGCAATATGCAGAGAGAAGGCTATGCAGAAAGACCAATCTGCATCATACAACCGGAGCAGCATTTGAACGTTGAGGAAGCTGTTGCTTCAGTTTCTGATATGTAAACTTTTATTCCCTGGGAAGTCATGGCCTCTCATCCTGAGGCTTGGACCCAGTTGACATTCCTGGAGCTATGTGGCTCTGCCACCCCGCTGTGCTCAACTGTTCATAGGGAGACACAAGGCAAGGAAACAGTGACTATTATCTAGCTTCAAAGATTCCACATCAACACCTCAGCCAGCCGTAGTCACATTGCTTAGAGCCAGTTGAAGGGAGAAGGAAATGGCTATGCCAGCTCTGTATGTATCAGTATGTGGAGGTAGCTGTTCTGCATTCAAAGAGGGCCATCCAAATGGTCTTCTACAGATGTTTGTATGTGATTTATAGTGACTTTATGTGGCCTCTTAGTTTTTGTTTGTTTTGGGGGAACAGGGTCTTGCTATGCAGTTTAGTCTGGCCTTGAACTCCAGGCAGTCCTGTCTCAGCTTCCTGAGTGCTGGGATTATAAGAATTCACCACCACACCTGGCCACCCCTCAGTTTTAAGAACATGCCACTTCTGCTGTATATCTGGGAGGCTGGATTGTTGTGGTTTTTTTCTTTTTCTTTCTTTTTTTTTGTATTTTTACCGGTACCAGAGATCGAACTCATGACCACATGCTTGCAAGGCAGGCGCTTATGCCGCTGAGCTAAATCCCCAGCCCCTGAAAAGTTAATTTTTAAAGAAATTACCTTAGCATAAGAGCAATCTGAAGGTTGGGGACATAGCTGAGCAGCACAGCACCTGCCTGACAAGTGTAAGGTTGTGAGTTCCATCCCTGGTACAAAAAAAAAAAGCAATTTGAAACATATCTGTGGCTTTTAAGGTTTGGCCTTGGTTAAAGTGTTTGAATTATAAAGTAAGTATAATTACAGAGGAGTTTAATTTCATTTTAAAAAGCTGAATCATATTTTGTTTCTTGAATTAGAATTAAGTTGCCAATTAGAATATGCCAACTGTGTGCTTTTTGTTATGTTGATATGTTTTTCGAAAGCAACATCTGGGAGTGAGAAAAGATTTTTTGTTTCATTTTGTTCTGAAGATTCTGAAATTGTTCAGGCTTATTGAGTTTGCTAGATTAGGAAGACTAATGCTAGCTGAGTACCAGTGAACTATTTTTATCATTTTTATGTGAAATTACAAATTTCTGGGTGTGATGGTGGCCACAGGGTGCTTCTTATGACACTTCCACCAACACTGCCCTCATCCCGGTATATTTTCTCAAAGCCTCCTTACCTCAGATTATATGGAATGACATAGCTAATAAGCAATAAAGTCTGAATTACAAAAAAGCCCCACTGCAAGTACACCAAATATTCCACACAGTTACATGCAGCTACAGTATAAGGTATTTCTGAAATAAAAAGGAATTTCGTATTGTGACTTGGGTCTCACTACCAAGATATCTCAAGATCAGTAACGCAGATATTCCAAAACCCAAACAAAACGTCTGAAGCATTTCCAGTTTACACGTATTTGGGTGAGGGATATTCACCTGTACACTAAGCTTTTTGTTGCTGTTACTTTTATAACGCAGCAATCTGCCTTAGACGTCACCGAGGTTCAGTCGTGTAAAGCGCCCTGTTTGAGCCTCAGCCGCACGCGCTCTGTCCTGCAGATGCTTCTTCCCTTATTCAGTGGTGAAGTGCTTTGCTAGTTTGCAGGGCCTGGCGATTTCAGACTGTGCTACCCTGAGCAAACTTGTGCGTGTTTCCGTTGCCCTCCTCGGTAGCCGACTTTGGGGTGCATCCCTAATACGGACTGTCTCATCAAAAGCAAAGATACAGCTCATTTTGTTTGAAATCTCCCCTTTCACATCCCTATAGCGGTATCCACTGGTGCTCCCAATATTCTAAAGCCTCATCAACCGAATACTGACCCACCTTTTACACTTTTGTCCATCTAATAGGTGAAAACACAGTCTCTGAGTGATTTCGGTTAGTACTTGTCTTGCTTTGAGACAAATTGAGCCTTTTTGTTTGTTTGTTTGTTTTTGCATGCAAGAGTCATTTCCTGGCATTCAAAGGGATTTGCTCTTTGGTGTTTTTTTATTCATTTTTCTGCTGGGGTTTTGGTCTCTTTTTATCAAATCCCTTTACATCACAGGGATGGTCATGCCTTACTCGTTGTCCTAGATTGGGTCAAAAACCTTTTCCTGAAAGGCTCTTCTGTCTCTAGCGGGGGCTTTAGGAAAGTGACTGGATGTTCAGGCACTGCACGCACAATAGATAGGTGAGGGAGGGCTGGGCACCCCTGGCTCACTGGGGCTGTGATGGGTGAGAAGAAACAGCCTTGGGCCTCATGTATTAGAGTCTATGTAGACAGTTACAAAACAGCTTTTAAAGAGATACTTTATTATAAATGCAAGTGTGTCCCGTTTGCAGGCCACAGGGTCGGAAATGCCTGGGCAAGTCCATAGACGGGTTCAGAGACAGCTGTGCTGTTAGGGGCAGTGCCTGGTAGAGGGTGCAGGTCACTCAGAATGGACCTAGAAAGGGCCTATCCTGTTGGCAGCCTGTCTGTCTGTCTGTCTGTCTGTGTCTCTCTCACTGTTCCCTTTCTCTGTGCTTCTGGCTGCCTTGAGGTGAGCAACTTTCCCTTTTGCTGCCCCTCTGCCATGTTTTTTCTGCCTTGGGGTCAGCTGACCATGGACTGAAGGCCCATCCACCCCACCGAACCCCACGAAAGGATACATTCTTCATCCTTTAAGTTGTGGGTGTCAGGTGCTAAGTCCCAGTACCAGCAAGCTGACTAATACATCTATGTTACATGTTGCAAACATTTTCTCCCAGGTTTTTAATTTGTCCCTTGATCTTGTGGTGAATTTGTTGCCGTGCAAATTTTTGTTGTTTATATATAGTAAAATTGGTCAACCTTATTTTTCTTCTGGAGTTTGAGTCATAGAGAACTTTTTCCTTAAAGTGGCCTGGCTTGTGGCAGTGATAGCAGGTAAGTATCATCATCAAGCTTTTCTTGGAGCCCCAAGAATCAGAGTTAAGGCCTGTGCTTTTGTGGCCACAATAAAGGCAGCCATTTTGGGAGTCTCTTGGATTTCTCCCAGTCCTGATTACAGAATACTAAGGAGTCAGCTTTTAATAAAGGATAAGTGAACTATCTGGAGCAAAGCCTATCTTTTTTCTAATGTCTGGAGTTGACTGGGTAATAAGCATGTCTTTAAGCCAAATCTGTCCCTCTACCGAATCAGGATCTATGGACATACGTTTCATTAGTGCCTCTGATCAATGATCTAAGAAGTCAGAGGAGTTTTCACTTTCCTCCTGAGAAATAGCTGATGATTTAAAATCACCAGAAGGCTCAATTTTTCTCCTCCTGAGACCTTTGAGAATACACACTTGAAAATGTCTCCTGTTCCAATCTCCTGTATTGTTGTCATGCCACTTGGGGTCCTGGGTGGGAACTGCTTGTTCACCAGTGGGAACTGGTGGTTCTCTTGGCTTCTATCTTTGGCCTACTTAAACTAACACCGTATTCATCTCCAAAAGTAATAGCAGCTTGTAATGCTGCCTGATTCTCAGTAGAAGTCAATATTTGATTTAAGAATAACATTGCATCTTTCCAGCCTAGCTCATAGGTCTAAATAACTCCTCTATAAACATCAATGTACTTATCAGAATCATCTAAAATTTTTCCTAGTTATGGTTTTATTTAAGTCACTAAGAGAAAGAGACCTATGAATGAGTGTGGTCTCATAAGGGTTATAATGACACCTGGAGCATAGATAAGAATCATCTCTTCATGCAAAGACAGTTGGAACACAATAGAATTCTAACCATTTTCCCTGTTTCTTACAGTATGATTTCAGTTGTAAAAGAACATCATAATTAACAATTCCCTCTGTATTCCACTTTGGCTCTAGGGGGTGGGTAGTCTATGCACTCCTGCAGAGAAATACCAATTGTCTCTTTTTCAACATAGAAGGGTTGAACATCTTCTAGAGCTTAAGAACACATCTCAAAGGAGTAAGGGGCCTTTGCATTGAGTTGCCCATGTCCAGAATGCAAAAAGTGAGGCATAAGGGTATGAAACAATTTTTTCAGGGTCAGGAATTGAACTCAGGAAATTTTCACTGAGCTATGAATGATATTGAGCTATCTAGCTATGCAAAAAGGAGATAAACAAAAGCATCCCTTTTTATTCCTATTTGATAGATGTTCCCTGGGTATCTCTCATGTTGCTTCTGCATAGGTAAGGCACAAATGTAAATCCTTTCCTGCTAGTTTCTTTTCAGATATAAAAAGCTGTTGCAGGTGCCTTAGCCTAGTTTTGAGAGAAGTAGTCTTAACTACCTGAAAAGTTTAGGGAACACCTTTAGCTTACTACCAGAAAGATCCAGGTAGATAAGGAAGTGGAGTTTTCTGTGGCTGGGGAGCCAGTGCCCACCGAGGAAACCGTGGGTGTCTTGGCCATGACCCCTCAGTTGTTGTCAGTTTGCATAGGCCCCACACAACCAGAAATCATTCTCCAGAAAGAAATCCAGTTGCCTGTCTGGTTAGCACTCCACTGACTGCCTTGCCCACTGGTTTTAATGGGGATTCACCAACTGGATGCTGAGGAAATCTGTCCTCTGTTTTTAGGAGTGACAGCTATTGTGAACACTGACTGTCAAAGTTCTAAAGGGATAGTTAAAACCTGAGTAAGATCATTTCCTAGTGCTCTATATTTTTACAACAAAGTTTTAAAGTCCACAACTTGAAAAGTTGGAAAGCCCCTTTATTCTAAATGTGTTTAGGTCCCATATGTGTGCTGCTTTTGGGGATAGCTTCTTCCACTGTCACATGGAAGCCAGTTCTCACCACTGTGTCTCAGGTTTAATCTCTAAAGAGATTTACCCCAAACACAGCCAGGACATGACTCTCACGTGTGGACTCCTGGATGGGCAGTATTCTGATGTCTCATCTAACCCAGAGATAGGGTGTGTGTGCGGCATCTAAGATGACTTCCCTATCTTCAGCATTAGCAAACACTCATTTTCTAATGGGCTTCACTTAGCAGGAAAAGGTTGGAATAATCTAGACTTTTTTCCTAATTTTATATGCCTCTATAAGGAGAATACAAACTGGGAAAAGAGTAGCGTTAAAGTGACAGAAAGGACACTGAAGCAGAACAGACTTGACATTTCCTCTAGAGTACAGAGGAGGATCAGAGCCAGTCTGCCTAGTGAAACCTGTCCTGCACGTCTTGAAGAATAGCCACCAGCCTAGTGCTTTTTAAATGGTGGAAGGAATTCCACATATTACTGTAGGCATGTATGCTTTTTAAGTCTGAATTAGATTTTATTGAAGAGAACCATTTTACAGAAGTTCACATTAAAGTCTGTGAGGGGTGTCCTATTATTATTATCTCTAGTGCTATTGTATAAATACAGTCAAGCAAGGGGTACCAGTAACTTTAGCAATTATTTTAAATTCAACCGATAAAAAAATAATAAAAATGTACTGTTAAAGAAATATCATAACTATAACCTTTCCACGTTTTAACTTACATTTAGCATTTTAACAAAACTATAAGAGACAAAGCAATTATAAACAATGAAACAGAAAACAAAATTTGAAGCATAAAAATTTGTTACCTCAATCAGTCCCAGTCCAGAAGCTATGAAACAAAATCAACCTCTTACCTCCAGCCAATGATCTTGGTGGGACCTCCAAATGACATAGGGGAATGAACCTCTGAACCTACTAAGTCTGGTACAAATTTGTGTTCTCTAAAATCAAAGAATGAATTTTAGGAACAAAGGAGCATAAGAGCACAATATATGTATTGAGAGTAAGAAAGCCTCTATCTGAGAGAGAGAGAGAAGCGGTCCAGAGCAAGTTGTCAAGCACTCTGTCTTTTCTAGGGACTTTTATAGAGTAAAATCATCAGTTCAATGCAGGGAAAACTGGGAACTCACAAGGCAGCTAGGCATAAGGTGGGACAGAAGTGTGGTTAGCCAATAAGAACAATTGCTTGGGTAAAATTGATTAATTAGGGACAAATGGGAAAGTCAGTCATGTAGAAAGCAGTCATTCTCAGGGAGCAGTGACCCTGCCCTAGGGGGTTTGAATGGTGACTCCTGACTTCCTCGGGGTGACAGGGAACTACTTAGAATGGCAGTCCTTAGGATGTGGATGTACTTGTTTGATGTTTTGGACTGAGGCCTGGCCCACAGCAGGAAGTGTCTGTCTCATCCCTATGGGCAAGGTATCTGAGTTTCCGCACTGGCTCCTTCTAGGACCCAGCCATGTCTCACTGCCTATAGAATTTCTAACTAACTCAGCTACCTGCAGCAAAAGCACAAGGATAGAATAACAGGGTAGACCTGATTCAAAACATCCAGCAGCACTGAATATAAAGGGCTGGGGGTGGGAGCCTAGTTGTGTGCACTTGCTAGCATGTAAGATGCCTTGGGTTCAGTGCTCAATATAGCAAAAATAACACACCACTGTCACCAAAAGGCCCAGAAGGATTTGGAAGACTGCAGGCATGTCTCAGGAAAACATGAAAGTCTGAGACTGCTTCCTAGTACAGGAAATTTCTGTCATTTTTCCTCAAGTCCCATTCTTGGCCCTGAACCCTCATTTGAAGTTAAACAGGTAGAATTGAGGCCTCTCAGGTACTTTCATATTTGTGGACCTGAGGGAGGAGCTAGAGTTCCTCTCAAGGACAGAGAAGTCAGGCTGCTTAAACACAGGTCCTTTTGGAGCTCCCCTCACACAAGATTTCCAGGATCAATGTGCCTACAGCCCTGAAGTCAATTGTGCTACAGCTTTGAACACTCTTCTGCCTTCTCAGTATGGTCTGTACCTAGGGGTCAGCACCTCCCCACAACTGAAGTAGAATATTTTACCAAAGAACCTTTCTGCAAATCCATTGTACAAAACCTTTAGGGATTGATTTTCCAAAGTAATTTCTTTAAGAAAATTATCATCACTTACTACTTTTAGGATGTTTAGAAAGGAAAGGACAAAAACAGTTTCATGCCAGTGTAACTGTAGCAGTAAAACTGAGTCTGCAGTAGCCAGGAGCTCAGGAGAAGAAAGGAAATTTTACTGACTGCTGGCAGTCCCCAGAGGAGTAATCTCCACAGTCGAAGGCACTGATTATGAAGAGTTTGTCCTTTTTATAGTGTGGCAAGCAGGAGTTGCAAAAAAAGCTAGGTAAGTATAACTGTAGGCCATAGTACAATGCATATCCTGGGGTGACCACAGTTTTTATGTGACATAGTTGTTTTTAGCACATTTACAGAAGTTTCAATTGGATGACAAGTCATGTGACTTAGCTGAGTTCAGGGGCAGAGAACAGACTGGCTGCAGTGAGATCAGGACTTCTTCAGCACTTAAACTTGGGGAGTCTTGATTAAGAAATTGGGGAGTGTTTGTTTTAAAAAGTGGAGAATCTGGTTGCTTTCTGGGAAAGGATCTCAACTTTTCCCACAGAATGACTTCAGTGTAATTTAAACAAAACCAAAGATGCTTCAAACTTTAAACAATCTAGTTTCCCACAAAATTTGAGAAAAGGAAGTCAGTAGAGTTTAGAAATCAGATTTTTAAAAAACCATTATTATGTGCCCCACCTAATGCAAGGGAGGAGAGGTAAGAAGATGAATCGAGTCTCTTCTTGAGTTTCCCATGCCTAGGTTGTGTCAGGTAAAAGACAAGTAGTACATGGATGAAGAACAACTGTGAATGGAGTCAGTTTATAATAGTGTTTCAAGAAAACTATTTAACAGGAGGATTTTAACATTATAAGAGTCTTCCCATGTGTGCTGTGAAAAAGGGCACTGTCACATGTAGATGGTAGTGTTGAGGCATGGAAGGGTAGGGAGAGTTCTCACATGTTAATGTAAAGAACTGACTCAAATCCTTTCTCTCAGATCCAATTGCTCACCTCCAAAACCCCTCCTGCAAGCACGATGCATCATCACAATGTATATGCAGCCCCAGCCTAACAGAGGGAAATGAATCATCAAACATGGCACTGGATGGAGAATAGAGCAAATGACAACACTGTGGAATAAACCACCATATTGTGTATTCTCCTGTCTGCTGCCCTAACTAGTCCCCATTCTGGAGGTCAGCTGGATTCCTTAGAACCTGTATACCTAAAGGAGGAAGGAGTTCTCCTGGATTGTGGCTTGGAGAAAGAAAAGGTTAGGTTGCTGGACTGGGTTACTATTTCTGAGTGTACAGAGGCCCAGCCCTGTGACCTCCATGGGAAGCTCTGTCCTACCCCAACCCAAAGGGCTGCTGAAAACACAGGGCTACCCAGGTCTGAGGCCCAAATCCTACCTTGATATGGGGAGTAGCCCTGCAGGGCCCTGCTGTTACCTCTGCTGGAAGCAGGGACTTGGGCATTGTTGTGCCCCAAAAATGAGACCCCGAGCTCTTGTCCAAAAAAAATGGGGCAAAGTGTCTTTTACAAAGAAAAAGCGCTTTATTTCAGCTGGCACCAATGACACAGTGCAGCTGGAGTTTGCAAAGCTGTGTAACTGGGTTAAAATTTTGACAGACTTTTATAGAAAATAAACCGCAAAGTAAATAATGATGGGAGGAGAGCAGGAATGCGGAAGGCCTTTGTTCCCCTTTGCCTGAGGTCAGAGACATTTCACAGTTGGTGGTTAACCCGTTCCTTCCTTACGGGAATTTACAGCCCTTGGTCTACTAATTCCAGGAACATTTGTGTCTCACAAAGGGAACAAAGGTTGATACATCAAACAGGTTACTCGAGTGACAACGCATACAGAACAGTATGGTGGCGTTTCAGTTAATTTATAACAATGTGGTCAGTGCTCCAGCGTGGCTGGCTGCAGAAAACAGCTGTGTTTGCAAAGGGAGTTACTAGGGTGACAAGCATAGCACAGGATGGAAAAGCTCTTTTTGCTAGTGCACAACAGGCATGGTCACTGTAGCCAGACTTCTTGGGGCCATGGTAAGCCCCTCTGAGCCAGAACCTACCTGCTTCTTAAACAATGATGTCACAAGTGGTGGGGTAGGGCACAATGTACATGGTTGCCAAGGCACTGGCAGCAAGTGGCCAGCAGAAACATTTCAGCAAGTGTTTTTGCTGGAAGCAACTGGCCTAGGTCTTGTTGACCAAGCCTTATTGTATGATGTTTATATTGCGCTTTGGGGCACCAAGGTTCATGTTTTGGCCACAGTTGTGGCTACTTGTCCTGGTAGCCCCACATCCCGAGTGGGCTCAATTCCCAGCCCAGATGGAAGCTGAGCTCTTTGACCATAGCTACTTATCTTTTCCTAACAAGCTCCTTTACTCGTCTCATCCACTCTACACCTTTGCTACTCGAGCAGAGTCAGGGGAAATGGATTACCCAGGAACCTCTGCACCTGAGAAGATTTTACTTACACCTGAGGAGTCGACTGAAGAGTCACTGCCGGATCCAGATAAGTTTGCTGTTCCACATCAGGGTCTGCATGACAAGCTGGTTGGGCCACAGAGGCTCCCAGAGGTGGATTCAATGGTAGATGGGCATGAGAATGAACACCTAGCTCTGCCTTCTCAAGTCAGAAGAAAGGAGGAGACTTCTGCTTCAGAGCAGGCTGCAGACCACCAGTCACATGTACTGCGTCTACTACTAGGGAACAAGAGTTCAACACCATCAAAGTTTGTTTCACTCCTGAAACTGAAGGATATAGCTCAGCACTGGCAACTTGCTAAGGAGGTTTTTGGAGCTGCTCATCAATCAGAATATCCTCAGCATCAGAAACAAACCTTGCAGGATGATACTGTGGATCTGAGTACGGATAAAGCTGATCACAAAAGCCTACACCTGGGATATCTGCTGAAGCCAGATCAACCTACACAGCCCTGTGAGCACAAGGAATCATCACAATACCAGCTGGAGGCCCAGACTAAAAATCCAGAGGCTCCACAAATCCAGTCCTCTCTACCTGAGGGAGAAGACCCTTATCGAGACTCACAGCCTGCTGAACAGGTTGTACCTTCTTTAATCCTACACCAAGAGAAGCTATTTAGTGAGGAGGGTTTACATCGGCTGTCAGAGAATCCGGAGATCAATGTTCCATCTCTAAGGGGCAGTGCAACTCATCTCTCACGTTTGACAAATTCCATCCTGAGACCTGGGGAGATACCCAAGGAACCATCTCCAATACTGTACTCAGCCTCTGAAAAGACACAAGGGCCAACAGTGAATGAGCTGCCAGTTCCAATGCTTGGTCAGTATTCAACTCAGCATCCCACATTATCACCTGTCACAACCCCACCGCTAGACATGTGGCTTAGCACAAGTGATAAACTCACTACAGAGCCTGCACATTCTGTGGGCCTGCAGGAGGTTACACCTTCTCCTCTGAAGCATCCTGAGGTGACACTCACACACCACAGGAAGGTGGAGGCTCAACAACCCAAGTTGACTCCTGTCAACATTCAGGCTTGGAATGTAGAACATACGAGAACTTCTCCACCTACTTCAGGGTTTCTCCTTTCACCAACATTGTCAGAAACCCCATTCCAGCCTCCAGCACCATTGCTGGAGGCTTTAGGTCAACGTAGAGAATCATCTTACAGAATAACTCCTACACTGCTGGCTCTAGGTCCAGCTCAGCCTCCAACATTGCCCACTGTCATGGTACAAAAACTGGATACAGGCCCTACCCTATATCCTGAACTTACTGCAGAGGCTGAACATCCCACAGCCGTGCAGGAGGTCACAGTTCCTCCTCACAAGAACCCTGATGTGGCCCTTGCACATCCAGACCAGATGCACACGCAGCATCCAAGTCTCACTCCCGTGATATTTAAACTTTCGGATGTGGAACGTTCCCTGCCTCCACCACCTGTTGCAGGAAGTCAATTTCCTTCAACAAGGCCTGAGAGCCCCTCTCAGCCTCCAGAGCCATTTATGAAGGCTGGAGATCAACACATGGTACCAGCTCAAATGACAAATCCAACAGCACCAGGGCAGGATACAGCTCAGAGTCCAACATTGCACAGTGCAGTGGTACAACCAATGGATATGGCTCTTATCATGAATGCAAAAGCCATTAAAAATGATGAACATTCTGTGGGCCCACAGGAGGTCACAGCTTCTCTTCTGAAGCATCCCGAGGTGACACTTGCACACCCTAGGAAGGTGGAGGCTCCACAACCCAACCTGACTCCTGTCAACATTCAGGCTTGGAGGGTAGAACATAGTAGACCTTCTCCACCTACTTCCAAGGTTCTCCATTCACCACCTTTGCCAGAGAACCCATCTCAGCCTCCAACACCATTTATGGAGGCTTTAGGTCCAGACAGAGTAACACCTCACAGAACAACTGCAGCACCACTGGGTCAGGGTCCAGTTCAGCCTCCAACCTTGCCCAGTGGCACAGTCCAAACAATGGCTCTTATGAGAGAAAAAGCCATTAAAGAGGCTGGACATTTTGTGGCCCCAGAGGAGGGTACAGTTGCTTCTCTGAAGGATCGTGATGTAAGATTCCCACCTTCAAGGCAGGTAGAGTCTCAGGGACCAACTGTGTTTCCTGCAATCATTCAGCCTGTGAAACTGGACCATCCAATACCTCCATCTACTTCAGGGACGCAACTCACACCCAATTTGCCGGAGAACCCCTCTCAGCCTGCAGAGCCATCATTAAAGGGTGTAGATCAGAACACAATACCACTTGAAATGATAAATCCCAAACCACCGGGTCAGATTCCAGCTCAGCCTCACATGTTGACCAGTGTCATGGGGCAACCACTGGACATGGGCCGTATCCTACATCCTGAAGTTACAATGGAGGTGGAACATTCCACGACCCTGCTAGAGGATACAGCTCCTCAGAAGAAACCAGAGATGACCCTTGCACAGCCAGACCAGGTGCAAGCTCGGCAACCAAACCTGACAAGCAGCATGGTTCAGTTGTTGCATGTGGAACATTCCATAACTCAACCACCTGCTACTGAAACTAAACTTCCTTCAGTGATGCAGGTGAACCCCTCTCAGCCTCCAGAACCGTCTATGAAGGCTGTCAATCAACACGTGGTACCACTTCAAACAAGAAATCCAACACCACTGGGTCAGGATACAGCTAAGAGCCCAACATTCCCCACTGATGTGGTACACACAATGTATATGAATCTTATCATGACTTCAAAAGGGATTGCAGAGGCTGAACATTCTGTGACTCTGCCGGAGATTGAAGCTTCTCCTCAGCAGCATCCTGAGGTGACCCTTGCACATCCAGACCAAGTGCAGGCTCAGCAACCAAACCTGACACCCATCACGGTTCAACCTTTGGATGTGGAACAGAACACTAACCATTATTCTGCACAAATGGTGCAGGATGCCACCAGCACTAGCAACATATGTGAGCTCTGCACCTGTGACAATGACACCCTGTCATGTACGGGTCTCAGCCCGAAGCAAAGGCTGCGCCAAGTACCTGTCGTAGAGGTCAACTCCTTCACAGTCTTGTAAGGATCAGTTTTCTTCTTTTGTTGTCTGCATTGTGCCTGAGGTGACAGCCCTTTCTTCAAGGGCTTCATAGACTGTCCTCACATCCCCTGTTCACACTGACTTTCTGTTTTTACCTTCTTCTTTCTCAATTTTCTTTATTCCACTCTCTTTGTACTATTTGTGCCCTCTTACCCTTTTTCCTTGTTTTTTTCTTCATATATTTTATTTTGAGACACGGTCTTAGTGAATTCACCAAGCTTGGCCCAGAGTTGTAACCCTGCTTTCAAGGATTTAAATCAGGGAAAGTAAAACGTTTCACGAAGCACCTGCAAGTCAGCTAAGAGGAGCAGATGGATTGACAGCACTGTGTCTGCTGTCACCTGCACTGCCCAGGTTATGATGAAATAGGTAAAAGAAAAACCCAAAAATAACAGAACGTCACTCCCAACCTACTGGAAGTCAGACACACTGAGTTCATTTTCGCTGAAGATGAAGAGTGAATTCTTAGGAACAATGGAGGTTAAGGGTAGGAAAATTTACTGGGGAATAGGAGTGGTGACTAGGAATAGCTCCTGAGAGACAGGTGGGGTCCCAGATGGGTTGCACTTTACTTATCCCACCACCTAACACTTACTCTCCTATTTTTGCTCCCCCCTTTTCACAACTCATTTCCTTAGTGATGATACAGCAATGTGGGCACGAGTAGATTCTGGGCCTGGCGGTGTAGCTCAGAGGTACACTGCCTGTCTTGTACACTCAGGGTCCTGGGTTTGATACCTAGTATCCCTCACCCCTTGGAAAAAGGAATAGAATCTGCCTGACCCAGACGGCCTGAATTTTAACCCAGACATCTCTTTCATTATCTTTGTAACATTTTGCAAGTTAGTCTGTGACTCACTTCCCTCATCTGTGGAAGGAGGAATATAATGTTTACTGTTTCACAGGACTGTGTCAGAAAAGAGAACACTGTGATACAAGTAACAGCACCCCCATATGTATGAATATTAGCTACTGTTGTTGTTGTTGAGGCCCTGAATTATGTGCAGAACTCACCTTTGCCCCTTGCTTTGCAGTATCTAGTTTGTGCTCACTCCTGCAGAGCTAAGTACATGGGGAACTAAAGAAGCATAGTGCTTTTTCCAGAACATGAAAATGATAGAAGGGAGGGGAAGAGCCTTAGGGGAGGTGGTGGGGCCATAAAGAATAGATGCAGAGTCACAAGATTTGAAGGTTAGGGAACACGGCATGGGGGAGCTCAAACCTTAGCTGGTGCTTAGAGTGCTTGCAATTGTCAAGCAGAGGAAACACAGGACGGCCAGCCCAAAGGCATGGCAGCAGGAATGAACATGGCTGCACAGGCCAGTCTGCCTGAAAAGAACAGGGTTATCAAGCAATGAGGTATTATTTCAAATTATGAACACTGAATATCAACTTTAGGATCTTTAGAGAGACAGAGAGACAGAGACCGACACACAGACACAGAGAGACAGAGTTTTCAAGCCAGAGAGCAAAATGATCAAAACAGGAGGACCCTTTTAGACTCCACATGTGGAGGCATCTGGAAGGGAAGGCTGAATTCAGGGAGACCTCGAATCTCTAGGAGCCTGGGGATAAGTGACAAGTGGCTGAGCAGGGTGCTGGTGTGAGAGTGGGTGAACACTGGAACACTGCGTGACCAAGTCACCCAGTAAACAGCTGAGGGCAGGGTGGACAGAGAAGTGCAAACTCCTGTGAGCTCCCGTCTCCATGCTGTGTGGAGCTGAGTGGTGGAGGTGTCACAGGTGGCAGCCCCAAGCAGGGAGGAGAGCCAGCTTGAGGGGCACAAGTTCTGTTTGAGGCCGTGGTGAGCGCAGAGCAATGAGAATGCATCTGGTCACGTGGAAATGTTCACTAGGCGCATGAGCAGACAGATTGCTTTCCCGCCATCCTCAGGAAAAGTGTATGCAAACTGAGCAGGAAAGTTGTTGCTGACGGATAAAGAATGAGTTTCCGCAAAATTGGAACTGAACCCTGGTTCGAGGCAGGCTGGCCTGAGGCTCACTGGTATCTTCATGCCTCAGCTTCCTGAGTGCTGTGATCACAGGCGTGCTCCCCTACTCCTGACCTAATAACTCGTTGGCAAGGCATGATAGACCTCCTTTAAAAAGGAGTCAGAGATGTGTATGGAATAATGGGAGATCCATACCCTTATATGCTTGACCATCTGTCTCCCTCACCCTGTCACACGGGAGATAAGCCCTGGTGCCAGTTTTGTGTGGGTTCCTCCTTCTCCTTTGCAGTTTTTGCCCTGACCAGGTGATGGTTTACTGCTTGCCTGGTGGTTCCTCTTCTTCCCTGTGCATCAAGTCCAAGCGGTTTTTCCACATCAGGACGTTAGCTCCTCTACGCTGCTCTTGCCCTTATCCTTCCACTGCCTGCAGAGCTTCCACAAAGGGTACCGAGCCAAAGCTTTGGCGCCAGCTGGCAGAGGCTTGCTTTATTCTTACTCACTAATAATGATGCATTTTGGCCCATTTTTCTGTTGAATGATTTTTCTTTTACTTATTGATTTGTAGGAGTCATCTTGTACCCAAGTGATTTTGGGAAAAACACTTAAATTAAAACTAAGTGACCGACATCATTAATCCAGGAGACTGGACAGATAGGAAGCTGAGCTGCTGAGCAAAAGTCTCATCATTTGTGCTGGCTGCTCCACAGTCTGACAGTCTTGTGCAAACTGGGGAGCTGTTAGTTCTGCAAATGAAAAGCTGTTATTGTCTCTGTGTTTGAATATCCTGGATATTGTTAGGATTCTTGTATTTATTCCTTTCCCAGTTATTCAAAGACATAAACTGTTTCTTCACAGGGATTTCCAAGGAAACTCTATTTATAGTATACAAAAAGGGGCATGGAAAACCTACCATTGGGCTGAGAAACTGTGAGTATAATTTTTTCAAACACGAATATAAAAACTTCATACAAAAACCAGGATCCTCCTTGATTCAGCATGTTGAGGTCAACACTTTTGAGCAAAGGTATTTCCCCATCTTATCTCAGGTCAACCTCACTTGATTAAAACATGTGTTTAGATGTGTGAGCCCTTGGGTTCAAGCCCCAGCTCTGGAAGTGGGGAGGGAGGGAGAGAGAGAAAGAGAAAGAGAGAATTAAATTTCATACACCCTCTCGGTGAGCAATGTCTTTCTTTCTTTCTTTTTGTTCTGGTAGCAGGGATTGCACTCACAACCTCACACTTGATAAGCAGGCGCTCATGCCACTGGGCTAAATCGCAGCCCTCACAGATCCTCTTGGAAAGAAACAACTGAAATTTATTTTTTTATACAAAGAGAATGTGATTACATTCTTAATGAATAAAAATGAAATAACAGGGGGCTGGGGATTTAGCTCTGCCGGCATAAGCACCTGTCTTCAAGCAGGCTGTCATGAGTTTGATCCCCGGTACCGTTAAAAAGGTAAAAGACAAAAAAAAGATGAAATAACAGGTAAGACCTTCCATATGCTCTAATGACCCATCAATGAGGTAACCACTAGTCTGAATCTGATGTATCTTTCCTGATCTTTCCCATGCATTTGCCTGCACACATACTGACATACAGTGAAATAGGTTTCTCAGGTGGCTTTTCTTTTTTACCTAAACAGTACTATCCTGTAATTTGACTCTCTCACTTTTGATACATCAGTGTTATTTCCTACCCCACATAGAGAGGGTTACCCACTCACTTAAACTCCTACAGTATTCCATAATGTGTATTTATTTTTACTTGTTTTTTGTTTTGTTTTGGTACCAGGGATTGAACTCACAACCTGCACTTGCCAGGCAGGCACTTAGGCCACTGAGCTAAATCCCTGGCCCTACTTGTTTGTTTTGAGACATGTCGCACTATGTAGTGCAAGCTGGCCTTGAACTCATGGCAGTTCTCCTTCCTCAACTTCTTGAGTGCTGGGATAACAGGGATGCACCAATGCAGCTCTCATGGTGTATTCATTTTGTCTTAATTTTTGAGGTGTGTTTTTTTAAAGACAAGATCTTGCTACGTAGTGCAGGATAACCTTGAATTCACTTACGTAGCCCAACTTCCTGCCTCATTTAGTATATATCCCTATTGATAGATGTTTAGGGTATATCTAGGATTTTTTTCATTTTTTAAAATTAGTGCACTGCAGTATATGATGATTATATTCCTCATGAGCAATTGGCACATGTACATGATACCATACATCTCAATTCTTTTTCTCCATCCCCTTTCCCTCCATCTCTTGAGCACTTGCTTTCTGAGAAAGATCTATCTCCCTTCACGCTATTATCTTAAATTTTGCTTTTTATTTAGACATTGGGTTTCCCATACAACAGAACTCATGACATAATTAAACATGTTTGATTTCCACAAAAGACTGAAGTTTCCTTCTCTTTATGGCAGAGTACTGCACTGTGTGTAAATACATTGTTTTTATCCATTATCTGTCGATAGACATAGCGGGCCCTTCCAAGGTTTAGCTATTATGAGTTGTGCTGCTACAAACATGACTATGAATTCATCAATATAACATGATGCCTTTAATTCTTTTGGGAAAATACCTAGATGGGGAATAACTGCGTCAAGTGGAATGGCTAGTTGTTTTTTGAGGCAGTTCCACACCGAGTCCCACAGTGACTGCACTAGTTTGCATGTCTACCAGCAACATCGAAGTGTTTTTCCCCTATAGCCTCACTAGCATTTTTTATTGTTTGACTTCCTGCTGATTCCATTCCTTGTGGGGTAAGATGGAATATTATTACTTTACAATGCTCTAAGCACCATAGTTATTGAACATTTTTTATGCATTTATCGGCTGTTGGTGCTTCTCTTCTGAGATGTGTCTATTCATTGTAGTTGCCCGTTTTTTGGTCAGGTTTCTTATTTGGGGAGGTACCTCTCCAGGTTTCTTTTGTTATCCTCTTCTTCTTTTGGCACCTGGAACTGAACTCAGGACCTTGCACCTGCCAGGCAGATGCTTATGCCATTGAGCTATATCCCCAGTCCTCTCCAGCTTTCTTGTTACCTGTACCACACAATGGACACTTGTTGATGCTTCTTTGTGAACATGGGCAAATATTTCTGTAGAACAAGTGCCTGCAAAGGGGATTGTTGTAGATATGAGACTTTAATTGCTCCAGGTACACTCCACGTGGCAGGACTGACAGTGCTCATTTCCTCCGCTTTTTCATCACTGCATATCCTTCAGGTTTCTGAGGAAATGTGATTTAAAAATAACCTTTTCATCTTCCAGAAATCTCAGTGAAAATTACATCACCGAACTACGTAAGGATTCCTTTGAAGGCCTGCTATCCCTCAGATATTTGTAAGTTACTTAATCATCATTATTTAAGTTATCTGTAAAGTGAGGAGGCAGTTCTAATTACATACTCTCCAAAATCTCTTCCAGAAATAAAATGTGCAAGTGTGCAAGTGTGTATAGGGCTAAGTCTGTGTCTATCATCAAATATGCTATGCACATTTTCACTTTTTACATCAGAAGGTACAAATGGGAAAAACCCAACATACACAGGAAAAGTAGTAATAAGATCTGAGCACTTACCGGTGTTATAACATGAACCTTGTTTTATTAGTGCTTATGTACCATTGGCTTGTATTTGTATTTACCATATGGGCCACCGATCCAATTGATCCAGTCTTTTTTATTTAGCTCATAAGTTCATTATGTTTTTGTTGTGTTTTCTTTTTTAAGTGGTTTAAAAGAAAAGGAGGGCTGGGGATATAGCTCAGTGGTACAGCATCTGCCTGGCAAGTGTGAGGTTGCAAATTTGAGAGTTCAATTCCCAGTACAAAAAAAGAAACAAACCTCTCCTGAATATATACAACAGAGACTATATGTGACCTGCAAAGTCTATAAGTATTTGCTATATGGTGTTTATAATAAAGATTTGAAAAAGCTGAATCAGAACAAAGAATTAAAGTTAACTTTAGAGTGCTGCCTAGAGGACCAGAATGTACTGTGTAGAGCGCCTGTGCTAATTTGAGCGCCATTAACCCAGGGTGTTTAGACGATTGAAGCTGAATAAAACCCTTAAAGTATTAAATAAGTTTTTAAAGTATTAAATAATTAAGTAAGCAGGTAAATTGTTGTATTATCCAGATGGTTAAGATACCAGAAGAATTGACTGCCAGCATTTTAGTGCTGGAATGATGACACCCATCTTAAAGACAGATTTTTAAAATGGTGATTAAGTGGTATAGTGTGGTGGTGCACTCCTGAAATCCCAGAGTTTGGGTGGCTGAGGCAAGGGATTATTGCACGTTCAAGACCAGCCTGCCTTACAAAGTGAGCCCAAGGCCAGCCTGAACTACATAGCATGACCCTGTCTCAAAAAAAAAAGAAAAAAAAAAGTAAAAAAGTAAAAAAATGCTATTGCTGGAAATGTTTACACTCAGCATAGAAATACTCCATCTTCACTAAAATAATCACAATCTCTGCAGTCTTGTTGTCAAAGAGGAATTACTTGCATAGTATTTTTAACTGTTTAGAGAAAGGAGGATACTATGCTCTTTGGTGTGAAAGCTTGATTTTTGTTTTGTTGTTTTGTGTTTGGTTTGGTTTGGTTTCTGGTCCAGTGGGTCCAGAAGTGTAAATATTATTAATGGTAATTAAACTAATTTTGTGGTATTTTGGCAAATAGAGCCTTTTTTCAAATGTAGAAGGCTTGAAGAAAGTAGGCATAAAGAATTTTTACTATATGGGACTAAAAATAGTCTCTGGAATTATCAAACATTCCCGGCCCTAAGGCAGTAGTGGCAAACCTGGGCATGCATAGACAAAAAATCAAAGGAGAGAAAACAATTGTTCTATGTGACGAGAGACCAAAAAAAAAAAAAGCAAGAGTAACTTGCCCATGAACTGCAGAATGGATAAGAAAGATACGGTATTTACATACAATGGAAAGCTGCCCAGCTATAAAGTAGGAAATCTTGAGGCTATTGTAGGGAAATGGATGCAACTGAGATCATGTTCATGGGTGAAATGGTTTGGACACATACAGGTGAACACCAAGTTATCCCCCTAGCATCAACAACTGGAGGAGTTAGTGGGATCCAAAAGGCACATTAGATTATAACAGTGATAGTTGAGGAAATGCCTAAAAAAGGAAAGTGGGAATCACTGCTAATTTCCAATTACCTTGTTTTTAATTCTCGTACAATTTTCATAATTTTGTTAGGTTTGGTTTTATTGTGTCTTGGTTGTTAGATTTTACTGTGCTTGGTGATATGGGCAGCTATTTTGAAGGTAACAGGATATATTGTGGTAAACATCGTTGTTTACCTATCATCTTATTTTGAAGTCCTATAATGCTTTTATTCTTTTGTTTTGATTGGTTTTATTCTGTTTTGTTTTGCTTTTATTATGTGTGAGAGTATGGATGACTATTGTGAACAAAAGGAAACATTATGGAAGCCATTGTTGATTTCCCATCATCTTGTTTTGAAGTCCTGTAATGTTTTAATTCTTTTGATAGGTTTTATTCTATTGTGTTTTATTTGATTTTATTATGTGTGATGTTATGAAGTTATTTTGAAGAAAAAAAGAGACAGTATAGTAGCCATTGTTATTATCTTGTTTTGAAGTCCTGTAATGCTTTCATTCTTTTATTTTGATTGGTTTTGTTCTGTTTTGTTTTGTTTGATTTTATTTCATGTGATGGTATGGACAAGCTATTTTGAAGAAAATGGAGACATTATGGTAGACATTATTACTTTTCCATTGCCTTGTTTAGAAGTCCTCTATCATTTGCATTGTTCTGTTCTTATTTGCTTTATTCTGTTTTGTTTTGTTTTATTCTCTTTAAAATAAACAAAAAAAGAAATTGAAAACTAGGCTTGGTGGTGTAATCCTAGCATTCAAAAGGGTGAGGAAGGATTGCTGCAAGTCTGAGGCTTGCCTGGGCTACAAAGTGAGCTCAGGGCCAGCCTGAATGCTGTAGCAAAACTGTTTCAAAATGACAGGGCAAATAAAAGCCATTAAGTAGTATACCTGCAGTCTTAGCACCTAGGAGGAGGAGACAAGAGCATGGTGAGTCCGAGACTAGCCTGGGCTACACAGTAAGTTCAAGGCCAGCCAGGACTACCTAGTTCAGAACTGAAAAACACAATCTAATAGTTGTATACTTTATTTATGAAGATCATGAAGGTGAGAGTCCTAGAGGAATTAGAGACAGGATATGGGGTCCACAATGTTTAGATACAAGTCCAAGATTCTGACAAAAATGTTTTTAATATTGTGAATTCTAAAGCCTAGTGTTCATACTACTTACTTACTAGTTATTTAAGGCAATGTTTTCCTTTTCCTTGTTCTAGAGATTTATCCTGCAATAAAATACAGTTTATTGAAAGAGAAACATTTGAAGCACTACCCTTTTTGCAGTTCTTGTAAGTTGAAAAATATAACTTCATTACATTTATAGTCTTGTAAGTTTCTTTGCTACAAATTTGGAAAATCCTTTAAACCTCTACCAAAGTGGATTATAAAGATTATTGCACAGGTCAGAGAGAGTCACTACAGAGCAATGATTCTCAGTTGGTTTGATTTTGCATGGAGGTGACAATTGCTATTGGCATGGAGAGGGCAGAGATCAGGGATGCTGCTAAGCATGCTACAGTGTTCAGTCAGACACTCAACACAAAGAATCAGCCAGCTCCAAATGTCACTAGTGCGGAAGCTGTGGAATGCTGTTCAAGAGCAATAAAGATCACTCAGCACAAGTATTTATTAAGCTTTCATTCTTTGTACCTAGTGCATTTCACATGTAAATATGAAAGTATAAATTATAAGCCACCATCTTCCAATGAGATTTCTTTAGCATATGGAAAAAGTATTTCAAGTGATGTTTCATCATATATAAGTTGAAATAACTGCCAAATGAAAACTGTTCAGAAAGAGCATCTTTATTCTTTCAATTATGTCCTTTTATTTTTTTGTAGAAATCTTCGTTGCAATTTACTCACAAAAGTGAGCTTTGGAACATTTCAAGCATGGCATGGGATGCAGTTTTTACACCGAGTGTAAGTGAAATAAATGATAAACATATGTAAAAACAAAAACTGTGAAAACCAAATCTATGTATCAACTTCATGCAGTTATTCACTAGCTGGATCCCGAAAGAGCTTTGAAAAGTGAGTCTTAAGATCCACTGATTACTTTCAGATGAGATCAGGAGCATCCAGGATGGTATGGCCAAAGACTCCATTCATTATTTCCAAATGAGGAAACTAAGGTACAAAGAGGCCAAGGGATTTGATATAACATGTTTGATGACAGGGTCTTGCTATGCAGTCCAGGCTGGCCTCAAAGTCACATTTGTCCTGCCTCAATCCCCTGAGTGCTGGGATTGTAGACATGTGGGTTTTTCTTACCACAAAGCAATTGCTTCCTGCAGATGAGCGAGCTGACTTCTATAACTTCTAGGTAGCCTGCTCTGCATTCTCAGGTAGTGGTCTTTGGCATGAGCAACACAAGGTGTCACACAGGTAACACTCAAATTAGCATCGTTTGGAGCTCAGGGCTGCTGTGAAGGCTGTGAATGAATGTTCCTTGAAATTCCACTTGCTTCCTTCTCACATGCAGAGTTCTCACTATTCAAACATATACACTAGAGAACTTCACAGGACTAAGTTTAATGTAAAGTTCTACAAGAAGCAAAAGGTACCAAAGCTTTTTCACTGCCGGTGTCCACTAAATGGGAAAGTAGAAAGAATTCCTGAAAGCCTGCCACCAGGTACTTCTCTCCCTAACCACCCACAATGTTGTTTTTGAAAAAGTATTGACTTCTGAAGTTATGAATTATCTGTGTGCAATTAGAACTTCAAAATGTCCAACAGGGGGCTGGGGATTTAGCTCAGCGGCATAAGCGCCTGCCTTGCAAGCAGGCAGTCGTGAGTTCGATCCCTGGTACCGATAAAAAGGAAAAAGACAAAAAAAAAAAAAATGTCCAACAAGCGGGTGTTTGTGTTAAGAGATAGTGTGGAAAATATGTATAAAAATACATTTCTCTAGCCCAATTCCACATGCTTTCTCTCCTGCTCCCTTTGATAAGAAGTGCAGGCTTTACTTCCTTTCTGCTGATGTTTAATAGCCTGAAGGGGATTTCAGACTCAAGATGAAAATCCCCATCTCCACCTGAGTTGGGAAAGACTTCCCACCTGTCTCGTGGGTCCAAAGTCCAGTTCACACAGTCTGAAATCCCTGGGGGGAAGTTTAGGATGCATCTGGAGCTGGTTAATTTCACCTGCATCCTCAACCGTGTGAACTCCTCACTCTCCTTGTCAACCTGGTGATGCACAGCCTGGGAGACACTGAAGGCTTGCTTTTGAAGGAAAGTGGGCACAGGTGAAGCACTAGAAAAGACTCATAATGGAGGAGACAGTGACTTGTGGCATCTGATGTTAAGGTTTTTCTTAACAGAAAGGCAGTTGCTTCCTGGAGATGAGAAAGTGAGAGCTAAGTGGTGCTGGACATTCACGCTCACAGCACTTGCTGTGGATAGAGCCCTGCCTCTCAAACTACTCTACAGTTACTTCAGTAGATTTGCACAGTCAGTCAATTGTGGCATGCACCTGTAGTGTCAGCTACTCAGGAAGGCTGAGGCAGGAGAATCATTTAAGCTTAGGAGTGGGGGCCAGCCGTGGCAACGTATCAAGCCCCTATCTCCCTTGAGAAAGTAAAAAGATCAACATAATGGTCACAATCCACCAAGTGTGTGTTTGGGACTGGGTACCTGGGCTTTGGGTTCAAGTTTCCCAGGAGACAAAGCTAGCTGAATGTCACCACAGTGAGACAGAAGCCTATCGCATCTCTTTTCAAAGGGAAGTCGCCAAGCTAGGATGCCAATACTTTTATGACCAACATGTTCAGTCTGGAGCTCATTATCAGTTGAAGTATTTCTCCCTGCTGTACAAATGCCTCCGCTGCGGTGGATTTATCATGAGTTGAGTGGAGGTGAAGCCCTGGGACTCCTCACTTGCACAGGACCCTTCCAATGTCCTGGCGGGGCCCTAGAAATTTCTGTAGGCATACATTTTGCATGCTTTTTCATTAAAAGGCACTTTGCAAATTTCATAAGGTTCAGGCCCCACTAAGTCTGGTTTTATGCCTGGATGCCAGGGAATTATACCCTAGTTAATAACTTTGATAGAGCCTCTGCATTACTGACGACATTGGAACAGTAATTAACAATCTGTTGGGGTCAGTCTGATTTAAGTCTGAAACCCACCTCAAAGATAAGCCAAGAACTCGGTGGGAAGGTGCCACTCTGAGTGGTAGGAAGACTCTCATCTGCAAGATGACGAAGCCGCTGTGCTGTGTCACAGTGCTCCTCTCACCCTGTAGTGTACTGTACTTTCCTGCTTTCAGTTGGCCCACACTCACTCTGCAGAGCATTGATCTTCCTTTGTTTATTAACTGAAACCTTGCTACCTCAGAAAAATCGGGATTGAAATATATTACAAAAAACTGGCAGTGCTGACGTTCCTAAATGTTAAGTGTGCTCCCCCCGCCCCCGACTTCCAAGCGTTTCTCCTGCATTCCACAACACAAGTGCACACTCATGGCTGCTTTTTGAAAATTCTTTCAGTCACTTCATCAGTTCTAACATTACAATATCCTCCATTTAGTTTTTTATTATTTTTGAGACAGGATCTTGCTATGTATTCCAGCCTGGCCTTGAGCTCACTTTGGAGCCCAGGCTGGTATGAAATTGAGGCAATCCTCCTGCCTCCATCTCTGAAGTGAAGGTCTGTGCTTTTACACACTGAGAAGACTTATACAGTAGAAACACCCTGACAGATGTAGAGTATATTCACATGCTGGCTTGTCTAGGGTCAGGCAACAACTGATCTAAGAGAGAACAGGGGAAAATCTAAGTCTGTCCCGGCTGAAGTATTTACCCTGTACTAGGATGCTCATGAGGTCAGTGTGGCCACATTAAAGGGAAACTGAGCCATGGTCCTGAGACAGCCTCCTGCTCCCAGCAGTCCACTGGCCTCAGTCTCCCATGCACAGATGTTTGCTCATCTCGGTGCATACACTTCCGGACTGTGCCGGGACCTCGGCAGTTCTTCTAGCTTCACAGGCAGACACGTGACACATGAAAATATCAACTCAGGTTTGTCCTTTGAGCTGACACACTTTGGCTCTTTAATTTGTAAAGCTTAAAAGATTTGGATGTTACATCCAGCAATTACTTCATCTTCCTTCTCCAACAAGGCAACGTCTCTGCTCTTGGAAGTTTAGCAGTTCTTCCTCTTCCTGTCACATTTCTTTAAGGCTACATTTATCAGGTGTCTGTTAAGGCACCACATTAAGTAGAGATGCTATTGAGATAACACACTGAACGCTCTTGAACTGGTACTTAGCATGTGGCAAATACTCAAATATGTTACTTTAGTCTCATTTTCCCAACAACTCCTGCATTGCTACTATTATTCCCACTAATTCAAAGATGAGGAAGCTGGACTCAGAAGCCTGGGCTAACTCAGTCAGGTGCACACCATTCGTGAGTGGTAGGACTACTTGGCCAGCTTTGCACACAATTTTCTATGCAGCTTTTGTTCCCTTGTACTAGGAACTGACTGATAACAGTTTGGCTTTTTGTACTTTGACTGTACTTTGGAGTTGGCTTCTAACTTCAGTAGGACCTTTGGGACAGACAGCTCCAACTGTTTTCTGCTAGTTTGACACTCGTAGAGTTCCTGGCCTGGCCATGACAGTTGTGAGCATCTGAAGGTTCCCTGCTCACTGGCCAGTGTAGATGACCTCTATATTCATTTTTATTGCCATCTTGTGGTACTGGGGATTGAACCCAGGGCTTTTGCACTGAGCCACATCCCCAGCCTTTTTTTAAATTTAGAAATAAGTTCTCTTTAAATTGCTCAACTATCCAGGCTGGACTCAAATTTTGACCTCTGGCCTCAGCCTCCTAGTGTGCTGGGACCGCAGGCCTGCCCCACTGGGCCTGGCCTTCACAGTCATTCTTAGTGGCTGGGGGAAAGGAAGCAGGGAGAGAAGAGGTAGGGGTGGAGAACCCGCTTTCACAGAGCCCAGCAGTGAGTGGCCTATTGAAAGCTATACTTTGAGCCACTGTGCTTATTAGTCATGTGACATTCATATTCTTTCACTTCATGACATCATCTCATTGAATATTGTCTAACGTTACAAATGAAGCAAGATAAACTGCATCTGGAAGAATGCACTAAATGGGGAAGCTCACCTGGCGAGAACGAGCCACGTGGCTCCCAGTCCCACCACTGACTCCCTCTGACCTGGTCAAGGAAGAGTCTGAAAGTCACTCCTCTTTCTGCCCTCTGCCAACAGGACTGTGCTCTCAGCACTTGGTCCTCCATATATTACAACATGGCTCTTTTCAAAATAAAAG